AACCGGTTTGGTGCTCAAGTTCATCCGAACTAGTCCAGAGGCTACCCAGAACCCTCTGAGACATGTAGGAAATAATGATGCTCATTTTTTTTGTGTGTGTCCTCATCCCTGGCCGTTACGACAGTGATAGGAGGGGGGGGAGGGGGGGGCACGTCACTGTGGGGTCGGAGTGTGTGTGTTGGGGGTTGGGGGGGGGAGGGGGTGAAGACTGTGACCTTCACAGTCTTCACCTCCTTGGACTAGGCTTGTGTACGTGAGATAACATGAATGGGATTTTCCTTGTGTCTACTGTTTGCAGGAGGAAATGAGTTGGATTGACGCGTGGGGTAAAGTTGATTAGTAATGCAGTGGAACGGTGGTTCTCATGGATAGATAGATGGAGATAGATGTTGGGGGGGGGAGGGGGGCGTTTTCTCTATTGAAGTCTTTGAATTTGAATGAATGAAGTCAGACGGGCCGTGATGGCTATCTGATGTAAAGTATGATGTACTTGTTTCTTTACATAGTTCTCTAACTTTTCCGTTCATTATTTGAATTTATTTTAGTGCTGAGATTTATGTTTGTGACGTTTGAAGTTGCCGTTTATCTTGCGGTATCTTGAAAGACGAGCTTCGCTTCCTGTCGAAGCATCTTCGCTTCAAGACGGCTTCGCGTGCCGGCTTGAAACTTTGAAGATCTCTCAAGCTCTCATTACCCGCCATACACACACCGAAACTACGACGTTGGTACAACGTTCGAACAAGTTTTAACACCACCTAACCAGTTATAACAACCAATATAGCAAGTGGACTTGAGAATGGTCCAGGGCGGACCGAAACGTCGTCGTCCCTTCAATTTCTAGTGTGTGGTCTGGTCAACATACTTCAGCCACGTTATTGTGACTCATCGCCTGCAACCAATATAGCAAGTTGTAACAACGTTCTAATACGTCATAAACACGTTAAACCAAGATGTAACAACTTTGTTACAAGTTGTAACAAGCGGAAAATAGAGACAGTTTCGGTTTGTGTTCCCAGGGATACTCACGTCATCAGTGTAGGAATGATTAGGGAAGGGAATGAAACTACCAGGGAAAAGCTGATTGATTGATTGAAGAAGATTAAGCCACCCAAAAGGTGGCACGGGCATGAATAGCCCGTAAGTGGTACAATTTTTTTTTTCTCGGTATTCTGAGTTTCCATTTAACCATCAAGCTGTTATCGCGGGGGAGGATACTGCTTAGGGAAAAGCGCCAAGCCACTATGATTATATAGCACTGGGAAGGGGTCAGGATAAGGATTTGGGATGGGACGGGGGGAAGGAATGGTGCCCAACCCCTTGTGCGGTCGGGGATTGAACGCCGACCTGCAAGAATCGAGGCCGTCGCTCTACCGTCCTTCCCAAGTGGTTGGACATAATGATTAGTGAACCACTGATTAATGAGAATCTTAAGTAAATTATTAAAGGCGTGAGCAAATCGTAAAGCTTTAACTGCATTTTATATCTAAGTAGCTATTTTTTAATGAAAAATATTTAATGAACATATTAAAATTTGTAATATTTTCATGGCTATTTGTTAGCCATAAAAGACTTTGTTGATAATACTGCCTATTCTTCACGCTCAGCTGCTGCTATTATTCGAAAGGCGGGGCCCAAGAGCTGACGCTCAAGAGTACCAGCAGTTAGAGAGGCAGGTGACGGAAGTGTAACGAACACGTTCACACATGCATCCCATAGTGTTCTCACTGACGGAGTTGTAACATGAAATAAAACCTCTCATTTGTCCACAGAATGTACCCTTAGATATTTAGGGCATACATTTATAAATACACACATTACCAGCATATATATAAACATGTGTGTCTACCCCTCCATGGACAGGGTTGGATGTGCATTAGACAGCAGGTCATGCAGACACACATTGACCACTCCCCACCACATAAGGGGATTGGAGGGCTTTTTTCTCTAATGGTAGCCAGCACACGTACGGTCTGGCGTCCTACACACACACAGGACTAGTGGGTTCTGAAATGCTTTAATGGGTTATGGATGAGTCACTGACGAAAGTCCCAAAGGAGCAGAGGTAGGAGTTGGGATGGGAAGAGGGGGGGGGGAGTGTGAAGCCCGGATGATGGACTATGTAGAACAGGGGGGGAGGGGGTGCAGGGGGGAGGGATGGTGGTAGTAAACATTGATAAATGCTTACAATGAATAACAATAGAACAAGGGGGCCACGGATGGAAGCTTGACTCAGATGCGTCAGAGAGATGTTGGAAAGTTTTCCTGTAGCGTGATGGTAGAGAGTAAATGCAGTGACCTAGAGGAGGAGCAGGTTGTCAAGACTAACTCCATTCATACCTTTAACAGCAGGTATGATAGAGAAACAGGTCAGGAGTCATGGCATAAGCCAACCAACGGCTAGAAAAGCGGGGGCCAAGAGCTACAGCATAGCGCGCGTGTATGCTGTTGTAATAGATTCAGCTACTCTGAACTAAGTTCCAAGCAGCACGGGGCTATAGTGAGCCCGTTAGTGGACTTAACCCGGCACAGGAGCGGGGCTGGCGTCTGGCATCTACGCCGCCCCTTAGCGTATTGCTCTTTAGCCCATCCATTAGTGGTTGAGAGTCATACGCTGGGCGTAGTGCCTGGCTCTTTATGATGGATAACGACGCTCTTGGCAGCCCGCCACTACAGCTTGTTGGCTCTGTAACCATGTGGACTATTGCGTACATAAACAGACGTAAGGGTCTATCACATATGGTCTGTTAGATAGTCGAATTCTAATTTAGAATTAGATAGTCGAATTCTAATTTAGAATTAGATAGTAGAATTCTAATTTAGAATTAGGTAGTAGAATTCTAATTTAGAATTAGTAGAATTTGAAGTAATAGTTCACTTCATAGTCCGAAACAATAAATATTTGGCCGAAAAAGTTTGTATTTGTCCGAAAAAGTTTTCTTTTTTTTTTTCGAACAAACGTCAATCAGTACAAAATTGTTTTCCGTTTTGTCCAAATTCAACAGCACCGATTTAATCTACTTTCTAAAAATTGTCTTCAACGTCAATATACGTACGTACGATGGTCCTCGTCGTCGTTGTTCAGGATTCAGCTACTTGGGAACAAAAGTTCCAAGTAGCACGGGCTATGGTGATCTCGTAGTGGACTTACCCGGCACAGGAGCGGGGGGAAGGGGGCTGTAACTGGTTCTCTGGTCCTGGTCGTTTACTATGAGTACTTTCTAGCCAGGAGGATGGGCTGGTGGGAGGGTGGGGGGGGGGGGAGGGGGAGAGAGGTCGCGTGCGCGAAGTACTGTCATCTCTGGCGTAACTTCCGGAGGGGGGGTCTGGGGGGGTCTGGGGCGCGTATAAGGCAGTGAGAGACACGGTGAGGAGGGCGAATTAGGCTGCGGAAGGGGGAAGGGGGGGGGAGTTGGGAGGTAATGGGAACAATGGGGGAGAGGAAATGGGGGGGGGTGAAGAGAGAGGTTTGGCGTGCGTTCTATACCAGCATTTTGGATAGCACTATCTGGTAATGGCCTTGTCTGTTTTTATGTTAGATTATATCTCTTTTTTATGAAGGACTGGTGGGATGGGGAGGGGGGTGGGGGGGAGGGGATGGGGGTGTTGGGGAAAGGGTCTCGTGAATGGTACAGGTGGAGTGGTTTAGTGTGAGAGGTGGTGGGGGGAGGGGGGGGTGGAGGTTCAAGGTAGTGGATGGTGAACAGGTGGGTCGGGGTGCGGAGTGAGGGAGTGAGTCTGTGTGCGTGCATGTGTGCGTGCATGTGTGCGTGTATGTGTGCGTGCGTGCATCAGGGTAACGTTCTAACCTATCACTGTCAAGATATTTGTGACCCGCTTGTTATGAATGTGTTGACGTTAGAGGTCGTATTGTCTTCACATTTGAAGTAATGGATAAAGGTTATGTCTAAGACGTCTTGCACTATTTCTTGGCCATCTGCACTGCGTACGAGTTCCGTTTTCAACTCCCTAAGATATCTTCCTCCTCTGTTTATTATTTATTATAATATTGTTTCCTCTTTCACTTTGTCTATTCTCTCCAGTATTGTGTACGTTTGTAACCCTATTATCTCCGGTTCTTCTTCTTCTTCTTCTTCTCCAATTTCTTTATCACTTAATCTTAACTTGGAACTCTTCAGTCGCAGGCATTATAGGGGGTGAATTTTTTAATGATTTCTTGCTTAGGTATTCCAACGCGGCCCTTTCTTTGTACAGCTTCCGGCGTAGATTCCGGCTTCAGTACCTTTCACTTGTTGGTTTGAACGTCTTAAGTCAATTGTCTCTCCCCTACTCCTTGAATTTGTCAAGGTCTTACTGCAGGGCTCTTAGAGGGATTGCACTCTTGTTAAATTGGCATCGTCTGCAATCATCAACATGCATGAAGGCACTCCTGTTAGGTCATTGATGGAGATGCAGAACTGCAACGGGCCATGTAGCCTTGAAGGAGCGCGCTTACTACCTCTCTCTCTCTCTAACATGTTACCTGTGATGGTGACACACCGTTTCCTGTCTGTCAGGGACTCCCGTACGTAGCTTTAGTGGCTTCGCAATTATTGCAACTTGTGTGTGTGTTAAATACAATTTTTGGGGGGAACAGTAGTATTAAAGGCTGTTTGGTAGTGTATCCAGTCTCGAGGACCTTGTCGTACAACTTAACATTTAGGTGTAACTTCCTCGCCGTCTTCAATATTTTCTCTCGAGCATTTTGCATGCAATTCATGTTAGTGGTTCTGGTCTATAGATTACGAGGCTTGCATTGTCCCCCTTTATTGAGTGTTGGAACTATATTAGCCTTTTGCTCTGGATTTTCGGGGCGTACTGCAGCGCTGTGTGGGAGTGGGGGGGGGGGGCGTGGGCGACGGCTTATGAGTGGGGGGTGGGAAGGGTTTTTAGTGGGGGAACCCCTGGGATTGAAATTGGGGAGTGTTGGGGTCAGGGTGGGGAGGGTTGAGGTGGTGGGGGGCGGCCCTGGGAGTGGAGGCCAGGCGGGGAAAGGCGGTGGTGGTAGTGGGGGCTCAGTGTGCCAGCGGCCGCCGTCACGGAAACACACGCGGCTCCTCGCGGCGCCGCCTCCTTCTCCCGCCCCCTCAACTCTCTTGCGGATCATTACTTCGACACGCAGTGCAACGCGCTCAGTGTTGAGGCGCTCTACCACCTCGTGTATATTGCATTGTTGCTCTTGCAGCGTCAGCCCTTCGCACGCTCACTGGCAAGCGTGTTGATATCCAAGTGACTTGTTGCAGTGCCAACCTTGAGACGCGCAGAACAGTGAGGTCGCTAAGGTGTTGTGTGAGGTATTGAGGCACCTGAAGAATTGAGGAAAGTGAGGCAAGAGTGTGCAACAAGTGACTGTGCTGACGTCAGCCGCGGAAATTGAGTGGTATAGTTAGTGTGTTCCGCCCAGCGTGTTGTGGCCCTCAGCTCGCAGGGTGGTGGCACTGTTGTGGGTGTGACCGTAGTGCCTGGCCCCATGGCCCTCTGACCCCCCCTCGTGAGGGGTCACCCGCAGGCACAGATGAGTGGGTCACACCCTCACCCGTCCACCTCACCCAGTGGTGCCAGGTGACGACACGCCATGTTGAGCACAGCAGTGCCGCCTGGGGGCCACCCTGGGGGCCACCCTGCGGCCTCCTGGGCCTCCTGGGGCTCCTGGGCCTCGGCCTCCACCTGCACGTCCTCCTGCAGCTGGCACTCGACGTACTCCCCTCGGGCGTCGCCGGGGCACTCCCAGGTGTGGGCCAACCCGGGCACCACGCCCTGGCCCGGGGCCCACGATGCCCCGTGGTCCCTGCCCGTGGACATGGGCGGCGTGGGCTGGGGGCCTGCCGCCCACTCCCTTGCCACGCCCTCAGACACCACCATGATAGTGAAGGCGGCGCGGGCGCGGCGCCCCTCGGTGGTGGCTGCCATCCTTGCCCTCCACGACCTCCCCCAGTGCCATAACGTGCCCATGCCCCGCTCGGCCTCCGCGCCGCCCCACCGTGCCCACTCCGTGGACGCCGGGGCCTTCTACAGGTACTACGAGGGCAGCGTTTTGGGCCCCGCTGCCACCGCTGCCCTCGTCACCCCCCATGCCCATGCCCATGCCCATGCCCCGGACACGTCGAGCAGCAGCAGCAGCATGTGTGGTGGGCTGGTGGGCGGCCCACTCTCCTCCCTCGTGGTGGCCGTGCCCACCAAACTGGAGGGATTTCTGAAGCTCTTCGCCCAGTCACTCCACCTCGTCCTCACCGCCATGTGCTCCAGGTCTGCTTCTCTGCTCTACCCCCCCCCCTGCCTCTCTGCTCTACTCCCCCCCTGCCTCTCTGCTCTACTCCCCCCCTGCCTCTCTGCTCTACTCCCCCCCTGCCTCTCTGCTCTACCCCCCTGCCTCTCTGCTCTACCCCCCTGCCTCTCTGCTCTACCCCCCTGCCTCTCTGCTCTACCCCCCCTGCCTCTCTGCTCTACCCCCCTGCCTCTCTGCTCTACCCCCCTGCCTCTCTGCTCTACCCCCCTGCCTCTCTGTTCTACCCCTTTGCCTCTCTGCTCTACCCCCCTGCCTCTCTGCTCTACCCCCCTGCCTCTCTGCTCTACCCCCCTGCCTCTCTGCTCTACCCCCTGCCTCTCTGCTCTACCCCCTGCCTCTCTGCCCTACCCCCTGCCTCTCTGCCCTACCCCCTGCCTCTCTGCTCTACCCCCTGCCTCTCTGCTCTACCCCCTGCCTCTCTGCCCTACCCCCTGCCTCTCTGCTCTACCCCCTGCCTCTCTGCCCTACCCCCTGCCTCTCTGCCCTACCCCCTGCCTCTCTGCCCTTCCCCTGCCCCAGCCAGTAGTATAGATCTAATGCGTATCATTGTCTGTAAAATTATAAGACCATTTTGTTGGTGTTGGAGTGTGTGTTGTGTAGTGTTGGAGTGTGTGTTGTGTAGTGTTGGAGTGTGTGTTGTGTAGTGTTGGAGTGTGTGTTGTGTAGTGTTGGAGTGTGTGTTGTGTAGTGTTGGAGTGTGTGTTGTGTAGTGTTGGAGTGTGTGTTGTGTAGTGTTGGTGTGTGTGTTGTGTAGTGTTGGTGGTGTTGAAGTGTGTGTTGTGTAGTGTTGGAGTGTGTGTTGTGTAGTGTTGGAGTGTGTGTTGTGTAGTGTTGGAGTGTGTGTTGTGTAGTGTTGGAGTGTGTGTTGTGTAGTGTTGGAGTGTGTGTTGTGTGGTGTTGGAGTGTGTGTTGTGTGGTGTTGGAGTGTGTGTTGTGTGGTGTTGGAGTGTGTGTTGTGTGGTGTTGGAGTGTGTGTTGTGTGGTGTTGGAGTGTGTGTTGTGTGGTGTTGGAGTGTGTGTTGTGTGGTGTTGGAGTGTGTGTTGTGTGGTGTTGGAGTGTGTGTTGTGTGGTGTTGGAGTGTGTGTTGTGTGGTGTTGGAGTGTGTGTTGTGTGGTGTTGGAGTGTGTGTTGTGTGGTGTGGAGTGTGTGTTGTGTGGTGTTGGTGGTGTTGGAGTGTGTGTTGTGTAGTGTTGGTGGTGTTGGAGTGTGTGTTGTCTAGTGTTGGTGGTGTTGGTGTGTGTGTTGTGTAGTGTTGGCTGTTTCTACAACACCCTTGTGTTGCCTGGGTGGGGGGGGGGGTAGGCACCCATGTATTGCGAGTGGCAGTAACTTGGCACCCTTACCTTGATGGGGTTCTGGGAGTTTTTCTACTCCCCAAGCCCGGTCTGAGGCCAGGCTCGACTTGTGATAACTTGGTCCAACAGGCTGTTGCTTGGAGCGGCCCGCAGGCCCACATATCCGCCACAGCCCGGTTGGTCCGGCACTTCTTGGTGGAAGTTGTCTAAGGGCCTCTTGAAGACATCCACCTTTGTTCCAGCAATATTTCTAATGCTTGCTGGGAGGGTGTTGAACAGCTGTGGACCTCTGATGTTCAGTGTTCTCTGATTGTGTCTATGGCACCTCTACTCTTCACTGGACCTCTGATGTTCAGACAGTGTTCTCTGATTGTGCCTATGGCACCTCTACTCTTCACTGGACCTCTGATGTTCAGACAGTGTTCTCTGATTGTGCCTATGGCACCTCTACTCTTCACTGGACCTCTGATGTTCAGTGTTCTCTGATTGTGCCTATGGCACCTCTACTCTTCACTGGACCTCTGATGTTCAGTGTTCTCTGATTGTGCCTATGGCACCTCTACTCTACACTGTACCTCTGATGTTCAGTGTTCTCTGACTGTGCCTATGGCACCTCTACTCTTCACTGGACCTCTGATGTTCAGTGTTCTCTGATTGTGCCTATGGCACCTCTACTCTTCACTGGACCTCTGATGTTCAGTGTTCTCTGACTGTGCCTATGGCACCTCTACTCTTCACTGGTTCTGTTCTGCATTTCCTTCCGTATCTTTCGCTCCAGTATGTTGTTATTCTACTGTGCACATTTGGGACCTGGCCCTCCAGTATCTTCCATGTATATATTATTTGATACCTTACTCGTCTCCTTTCCAGAGAGTACATTTTGAGAGCTTTGAGACGGTCCCAATAATTTAGATGTCTTATCGTGTCAATGCGTGCCCAATATGTTCTCTGTATTCCCTCTAATTCAAAGATCTCTCCTGCCCTGAAAGGGGAAGTGAGTACCAAGCAATACTCAAGACGGGACAGCACCAGTGATTTATATAGTATTAGCATTGCTGTGGGGTCTCTGGATGTGAACACTGCTGTGGGGTCTCTGGATGTGAACACTGCTGTGGGGGTCTCTGGATGTGAACACTGCTGTGGGGTCTCTGGATGTGAACACTGCTGTGGGGTCTCTGGATGTGAACGTTGCTGTGGGGTCTCTGGATGTGAACGTTGCTGTGGGGTCTCTGGATGTGAACACTGCTGTGGGGTCTCTGGATGTGAACACTGCTGTGGGGTCTCTGGATGTGAACACTGCTGTGGGGTCTCTGGATGTGAACACTGCTGTGGGGTCTCTGGATGTGAACACTGCTGTGGGGGTCTCTCGATGTGAACATTGCTGTGGGGTCTGGATGTGAACATTACTGTGGGGTCTCTGGATGTGAACACTGCTGTGGGGTCTCTGGATGTGAACATTGCTGTGGGGTCTCTGGATGTGAACATTACTGTGGGGTCTCTGGATGTGAACATTGCTGTGGGGTCTCTGGATGTGAACATTACTGTGGGGTCTCTGGATGTGAACACTGCTGTGGGGTCTCTGGATGTGAACACTGCTGTGGGGTCTCTGGATGTGAACATTGCTGTGGGGTCTGGATGTGAACATTGCTGTGGGGTCTGGATGTGAACATTACTGTGGGGTCTCTGGATGTGAACATTGCTGTGGGGTCTCTGGATGTGAACACTGCTGTGGGGTCTCTGGATGTGAAGATTGCTGTGGGGTCTGGATGTGAACATTACTGTGGGGTCTCTGGATGTGAACATTGCTGTGGGGTCTCTGGATGTGAACATTGCTGTGGGGTCTCTGGATGTGAACATTACTGTGGGGTCTCTGGATGTGAACATTGCTGTGGGGTCTCTGGATGTGACCATTACTGTGGGGTCTGGATGTGAACATTACTGTGGGGTCTCTGGATGTGACCATTACTGTGGGGTCTGGATGTGAACATTACTGTGGGGTCTCTGGATGTGAACACTGCTGTGGGGTTTCTGGATGTGAACACTGCTGTGGGGTCTGGATGTGAACATTACTGTGGGGTCTCTGGATGTGAACACTGCTGTGGGGTCTCTGGATGTGAACATTGCTGTGGGGTCTCTGGA